TGAGGACCTGGATTGTTGGGGGCAATATGCTGACTCTGTAAACCGCTTAGAAAGGGCTGAAAGCCCTATGAAGCGGTATATAAGTCTAACTGCTACTGCTATTGCTATTGCTATTGTTCTTTGGCTGTTCCCTTCGTCTGGCAACTCTGAGCATACACACACTGGGAACAGGCTCCACCTGTTCTTCTGCCTCCGAGGCAGCTGATACCGGGCCTATGACTGCCCCCCCTCTCTGCCTCCGACACAGAGCCCTCGTCTGAGCCTTCCCCAGACTCAAGGACTGGCCCATCTTCCTCCCCAACCTCCTCACTCTCCAAATCTGCTCCTATCTCCGCTGGGGGACACAACCCTGCAAAACAGCGGGAGTCTTCCCCACAACTTACCTTGGCCTTTATGTAAAGATTCGAAAAAATCGTGACGGGTGAATTGAGACTCTTCCTGGTAGCCTGACGGGGAGGGCAGCTCAGGGGGTGCCTCCAAAGGCGAGTCCTTTTTGCCCGCCAAATGGCTGCAATTCAGAGAATACATCTTGATATCCCTGATTTCCACCTGCAGGCTGTCGCTCCTCAGATTGTCTTCCCCCGTCACGAAGTTCTGGATGGATATTTGTCCTAAATGGCCAACCAGTAGTTCGGGACTGCCTGGCTTACGAGGGATGGAGACCACGGGCGACTCGATCTTCACGTTTAAGACCAGCTTGATGGTTTCCGTCTTGGGGTACAACGGAGCCTGCTCTTCCCCGTCGTCGTGTTCCAGATTGAAGGGGTCCCTGGACCGGGGCGTCGTGTCGAAAAGGGACACCATCTCGCTGTATTCCGCCGTCTTGGTGGCCAGGACAGTGGTCACTTTGCTGGCCGCGCTCTTCAGCATGCCACGGAAGTTCTCCTCCAGCTCATCCAGCGACAGAGCGATCTCCTTCAGGAATTTGGCGGAGTGGTTGTAGTGCAGGGAGGCCATCTGGAGGAGGAGGGAGCACTCTGCCGCGGACTGTTCGAGGAAGGTGAAGCAGAGCGCGTCCGGGAGGCCGCTGGCATCCTCGAACTGGGGGAATGTGGGCCGGGCATAGCCCACGTCCCGGATCAGGCTCTCGTACCGCTCCGTGTTCCCGATGCTGACCACATACTGGTTTTTCACATTGTCCTGGGTCAGGTCCATAAGGTGGAGGCAGCCCAGGGAGCCGTTGACCTCCAGCCTGCTGCCCATGGAGACGTTAACCCTGGTGCCTCCAATGCTGGCCGTGGCAATTTTCCGGCCAAATTTCTCTCGGTTGACTAAGGTAACCGTCCTGAGTAAGAGGACATTCAGCCAGTGGATCTCCACGGCCACTTCAATGCTTTGGGAATGGGTGGACTGAAAATTCTCCTGCTCACCGAAGGTGTTTTCGGCGTCGGTCAGCAGCGGCTGAGGGCTGCCTTCGTCCTTCTCCTTCGGGAAGGACTTCTGCAGGAAGCCGATCAGTTCGACGATGGTCTCCGGGTTGAGAATGATGTCCAGGTTGTTCATCTGGACGGTGAGCACCTGGAGGGAACTATCCAGGTTCATGGAAGGGCACTCGGCGGTGACAAATTGGTATTCCAGTTTGATTAAGGATTCGTCTCGTTTCGACGACGTGCCGGAGAGTCTCTTGGAAGAAGCCTGGGTGCATTTCTCGGCGAGAGAGGTGTCCCCGACGAGCAGGGTCTCGCTGAGGCCGTTAACGGGGGACTGAGCCTTGCTGTCTCGCAGGCTTCCCGTCGGGAGGTCAAAACTGAGGTTCTTGTGCGACGCCATCAAGAGGTCGAAATCGGCGCCATAGGTCTGCATGGTGTCGACCAAGAGCAAGCCGTGAACGGTGAGGGAGACCTCGACGTCGTAAGGCCTCTTCACGAAGTGAGCGTTGGTGCCGAAAACTTTCAGCACCGAGATGTAGCGGCCGTTGCTCTCGACGGCCAGTTGCATGCAGTTCACCCGGAACTCGGCCAGGAGCAGCTGGGATTCCACTAGGACTTCTTTGGTGTGTTGCTCCACCAGGATGACACTCTGGGTTAAGTTCACCACGGAGTTGTGCAGGCTCCCGCGCTGTTCCAAGCTGGATAAAGGAGCCTCTTTCCCGGCCTGGGAGCCTTCCGGATCAGGGGTGCTTAGCCTGCCGAAACAGTTGTTCAAGGCCACGATTTTGTCCTCGTTGATGTGTATTTTCAAATCGGGCAAGTTGCCCGACAGGACAGCTCCGGGGTATTTGGGGTCAGAAGTGTAGATGAGCCGGCGTTCCAGTTGCAAATGGACGTTAAACTTCTCCACCACGTGAGTCGGGCCCACGTCGATGTCTTGGGCGTATTTCCAGTTGTCTTTCACCCGCCCCACCATGATCTGGAGATCGTTGAAGGACAAAGTGTAGGTCTCATACATTTTTTTGCTCATCAAGTGTGCCTGGAGCTGCTCTTCGCTGATTTCTACACCCGGGAACTCTTCGCTGCTTTTGTCCTCTCCGGTCGGGTTGAGTTCCGGAGGGGGGCTGTTGGGTGGGGTGGCAAGAGGGGTCTTGTATTCCTCGTCGCTCAAATCGCTCAGCTCTAGGGAGGGGCCATCCGGACTCTTTTTCCTGTGCTCCTCTAGAAAATGAGGAAAAGAAATCAGCCACGTGATCTTTGGTAAACACAGACAGAGAGAGACATTGGACTATGACAACTTGCCACAGTCAACTTGCTATGGCCAACTCACCTTGGCCAACTCGCCATGGCCAAGTTTCCATGGTCAGCTCACTATGGCCAAGCCACCATGGTCAACTCACCACGGCCAACTCGCCATGGTGGTCAACTTGCCATGCCCAATTCATCATGGACTACATACCACAGCCAACTGGCCACAGCCAAGTCATGTCAGGCCTGAAGCCATATTCCTCTTGGATGTTTGGCCTGCCACACTCTCTATTATTCTACCGTGCCTTTTCTATTGTGGGAAAATGGGATGGGGGGATTGTACGGAGTTAGATGCTATGTAGCCATAACAACATTCTTTCTAGAAAACCAAGGTCATCCTTTGTCTTTGAATCTCTACACCTAACTGGAACTGGGATGGGTGGAAGCTGCCAGCGTGGCAGTGGAAGATTGGACCATGGGATGGACTTGTGGGGGTGGGGGGGAAGATCTTGAACTTTCAACTGGGTGGAGGAAACCAGGAAGTTTTCAGATTTCGGGTTTTCCCAGATGTGCCAACGTGGCTTCTCTTCATAAATTGGAACTTTGAGCAATGCTTTGCCTCGGACTCTGATTTAATTTTGGATGCTATTTGGAACCCTGACACATGGTCGATTCACCACAGCCAACTCGCCATGGTCAACTTGCCAGGCCCAATTCATCATGGACAGCTCACCACAGTCATCTCACCAGTCAACTCACCACAGTCAACTCATCATAGCCAATTCACCATGGACAACTCACCACAGCCAACTCACCACAGTCAACTCACCATGGTCAACTTNAGCTTCGCAAACCTCACATTGTGAACAACAAGCTCTTAATGGGAAATCTGTTGTTGAAAGAAGGTGGTCTGCTTTTCAGAAAATAAGAGACCCTCCATTTTTTTTTAACTCTAGAGTTTTGTGTGTCTGTTTCACCAACCTTGGAGGAGTGTGTCGTGTCTTGTCTGTGGTGAGCTGTTGAAGGACATGAGCCCATGAGGATGCTGAGGATGCTGTTCGGGAAATACCTTCTAACGTTGGCCCTCTTATTGTGTCCGTTCTCTGCCCTCCACAGGGTGTAACTTGAAGATATTTAACAACCAAGAATTCGCAGCCCTCCTGGCTCAGTCCGTCAACCAGGGCTTCGAGGCCGTCTACCAACTGACCCGCATGTGTACCATCCGGATGAGCTTCGTCAAGGGCTGGGGAGCCGAGTACAGGTCAGCATTTCAGTCACGGGATGGAAGGGGAGCTCTGGGAGGCCCAAAATTATGGGGGGGGAGTGAGGGGGGCTTCCCGAGTCCTCAGCTCCTGTTGGATTGGATAATTGGGGGAGCTGAAGGCTAAAGCATATGAAGAACATTTGCAGGAATTGGGTATATCTGGTCTAGTGAAAAGAAGAAGTGGGGGGGCATGATAGCAGCTTTCCAATATTTGCGGGGCTGTCACAAAGAAATCCCAAGTCAATCTATTTTTGAAATCACCTGAAGGCAAGACAAGGAACAATGGATGGAAACTAATCAAGGAGAGAAGTAACCTGGAATTAAGGAGAAACTTTCTAATAGGGGGAATATTTAACCAGTGGAACTGCTTGCCTCCAGAGGTTGTGGGTGCTCGCATCACTGGAGGCTTTTAAGAAGAGACTGGAACAGTATAGAGAGTCTCCTGCTTGAGCAGGCGGGTGGACTAGAAGACCTCCAAGGTCCCTTCCGACTCTGGTCTTCTGTTATTCTTGGGCCTTGAGATGGCTGGGTGAAGAGGCAGAGACATGACAAGCACTGCCCCAATGTGGTCCTTGAGATGATGCCAGAAGGAACGGTGTCAGCTGCAGTTCAGAGCGCTGGATGTTGTCCTCTTTATGATGGCCATTGAGGGAATTAGGGGGCAAGAAGGGATTTTTACAGAGAGGTAGATGAGGGTTGGGAAGAGGCCCCAAGGTGGGAAAGCGGGGGTGGGATGCATGGTTTGGGTTGTACCAAGTGGGGAAAGCACAGGGCCGTCTGCAAGGACCCTAGAAAGGAAGTGTCTCTGCCGGTGGGGAGGGGAATCCTGGCCCTGCTTCCATCAGCTCCTGGGAATAGGCGGCAGCTGTGGCTTCCCATCTGGGCCAGGGAAGGAGTGGGCGGCCAGACCTCTCACATTACCTCTCGCAGCTCCTCCAGATGTCTGGAGTCCATCTTGGTGTGTTGTTGGCTTGCTCCCTGCTCAGGCTGCTTTGGGCCTTGGCGATGGCCAGGGTGTCTAATGAGCTCCAGATGTGCACGCTGCTGCCACTGCTGCTGCCGCTGCTGCCTTGGGTGGGGCTGGGAGGCCTCGGTCCTTGAGAAGAGACAGCTGGCCGGAGCACGTTCTGTGCGTGTGCATTGCAAGCGGCTCCCGGCTGCATGTGAAGCAGGGGTCAGCCGGGCCTTGTATCCCTTGGTCTCCATCCCAGGCCAGCCAGGGGTGCTCCCCTCCCTCCCTCCTGCCCTCCCTCTCCCCCCTTGGAGGAATCTCTCCTTGGGCCTTTCTGCTAGGTGTCTTTGGAGGAGTCACTCTGGGGCAGCCTCTGCAGCCAGATTAGAGTAAATTTTGCCCTCCTCTGGTTAAGGATGCTGGGTGGGGTCAGCAGGAGTGGCCTCTCTCTCTCTCTCTTCCCCCCCTCTCTCCTCTCCCTTTCTCGCCTCTCTCTTCCATTCTCCTTCTCTCCTCTTTCTTTCTTTCTCCTTTTCTCTCTCCTCTTTTTCCCCTTCTTTCCTCTCTCCTCTCTCTTTCTTTCTCCCCTTCTCTCTCCTCTCTTTCCCTTTCTTTCCTCTCTCTCTCTCTCTCTCATCTCTCTCTCCCTTCTCCCTTTCTCTCTCCTCTTTCTCTTTTCCTTTCTCCCTTTCTCTCCCCACTCTCTCTCCTCTCTCTCACTTGCTTTCTCCTATTCTCTCTCTCTCTCCTCTCTCTTTTTCTTTCTCCCTTTCTCTCTCATCTCTCTTTCCCTTTCTTTCCATTCTCTCTTCCTCCCTCCCTTTCTCTCTCCTCTTTCTCTTTTCCTTTCTCCCTTTCTCTCCCCACTCTCTCTCCTCTCTCTCACTTGCTTTCTCCTATTCTCTCTCTCTCTCCTCTCTCTTTTTCTTTCTCCCTTTCTCTCTCATCTCTCTTTCCCTTTCTTTCCATTCTCTCTTCCTCCCTCCCTTTCTCTCTCCTCTTTCTCTGTCTCATTGCCCAAATGGCCCAGCAGGATCTTTGCAGAACTATTTCCCCAACTGTGTCAGAAGGGGGATAGAGATGTTCTTGGACCAGGACAGACTGAGAGTTTTGGAGCACTCAATTCCCTTCCGAGGCATTTCAGTCTCTGACTCTCACGGAATCTCACAGCAGGAGGCCCAGTGGGGTGACATACCTGGCTAAGCATGGCCGGCCGGCCTCCCCCTCCCTGGCCCTTGCAAAGCACGTGGGTGGCTGGACCAAACTGAAGGCTCCCTGGCTCGGGTGTCTGAGTCACGTAGCCCTCGCCTGATCTTTCAGGAAACAGAACCGGAAGGCAATTGGCTTCCTACTCTATTGTTCTTCCAGCCACAACTGATATTCAAGGAATGCTGCGGGGGATTCCCAAGGTTGTCAGTGGTCATCGAGACAGCGGCCTGGCCTTGATGCAAAGGCCTCTTAAAGCCATTTGCACAGCTGCCATCTCAGCATCTGGGAACAGCCAATTCCTGGGGTGTCAAGAAGGCCGGGCTTTTACCTATCGCAAATCTCACATCTTTTAGGTTCCACCCAGTGCTGCGAGTTTAATGCAGTGGGAGATGGGGGGAGAGAAGGGTCCCTGCCTGATCTTCTCCCAGATGGGACTCTCTCCCTCTTCCGTTCAGCAGGATGCACCCAGGAACAGAGCAAGGGGCGGGGGCTTTACAGTAGCCTGCTTTGACTCAGTTGTCCCAGGGAGCAAGGAGGGACTTCTCCAGTGGGCAGAAAACTGGATTAGATGATCACCAAGGTCCCTGCCACTCCTGTAGAGTACTTGGAGCCAGTGGCATAGGTGCTTGGGATCTGGCGCAGGACTCCTCAGTGCATCTATTGGCCGCTTCGGAAAGGAGCTGGGAAAATGCCTGCTTGAGTTGCCATTGGTGAAGCCGAAAAACAATATATATAAATATATATAGAACTGTGTATAAAGGTGTGTAAATATAGAAGCGAAATATTATATACATGTACAGGTATGATGACGTAACAATGTTGATGTAATGACTGTAAGGTGTTGTAGAAGGGAAAAATAATAATAATAAAAAATCTGCTAAAAAGAGAAATGAAACGTCTTCGAAGAAAAAAACCAGAAAGTCCAGTTTCCTCTTGAAAAAAAAAGGACCTTTGGGGCAACCATGACTTGGATGACTGAGGATCTCCATAGAGATTTGGGGATCCTTTAGGAAAGAATTTAGCTCCATCCAAAATGGACTTGACCACGTCCAGTGGTGAGGTTTCTAAGCATCTCCAATACCTGAAAGACCCCTGAGATAGGGACACCAAGAATTATTTCCCTCCTGGTCTCCCTCCTGCTGGAGATATATGAGATTCTATTTCCTTCCTTAACCTTCCCAAGCAGAGGTAGGTTCCTACCAGTTCGCACCT